AGCATCGAGTTTGAGCTTCAGCAAGAGCCAATGATGTTCTTTCTTGTGTTATGCAGCACGTTTGAGGTTCAGCAATAACCAATGAGATTCATTCTCGTGTTACACAGCAAGTTTGAGGTTCAGCAAGAACCAATTAGGTTCATTCTCATGTTATGCAGCGACTTTCAGCTTCCGCAAGAACCAATGAGATTCATTCTTGTGTTACGGAGGATGTTTGAGCTTCTGAAATAACCAATGAGGTTAATCCTTGTGTTATGCATCATTTTTGAGCTTCAGCAAGAACCAGTTGGGTCCATTCTCGTGTTATGCAGCGCGTTTGTACTTCCGCAAGAACCAATGAGATTCATTCTTGTGTTACAGAGGACGTTTGAGCTTCCGCAAAAACCAATGAGATTCATTCTAATGTTACGCAGCACTTTTGAGCTTCAGCAAGAACCAATGAGGTTAAATCTCCTGTTATGCATCATGTTTGAGCTTCAGCGAGAACCAGTGAGATTCCTCCTTGTGTTACACAGCACGTTTGAGCTTCAGGAAGAACCAATTAGGTTCATTCTTGTGTTACGCAGCACGTTTGAGTTTCTGAAATAACCAATGAGGTTAATCCTTGTGTTATGCATCATTTTTGAGCTTCAGCAAGAACCTATTGGGTCCATTCTTGTGTTATGCAGCGCGTTTGTACTTCAGCAAGAACCAATGAGGTTCATTCTCCTGTTTCACATCATGTTTGAGCTTTTTAGTTTTACATTTAGTTTTACAGTTTTACATTAAGTTTTACATTAAGTCCCATCTGTAAAGGATTCATACTGTGAGATTCATAGATGTGAAAGGCAAAAGGTCATAACATTCACAAATCTTTTGCTTCACATTTGTAAGCCCTCATGCCAACAAGGATAGATAGATAGATAGATAGATAGATAGATAGATAGATAGATAGATAGATAGATAGATAGATAGATAGATAGATAGATAGATAGATAGATAAATGATTGTTGTTGGATGAAGAGAAGGCATCGAAGAGATGAGAGACAACTATATTATAGCGAGAACTATATAGAGAGAACTAGGCAACAAGGCAGCAAGATGGAAAGATGTGGAGTGCAATTCTTCATGAAAAAAAAAAACGATGGACAAACAGAAAAGATGTGTAGGTCAGCAGAAAGATTTCAGGATTAATGAAGCTAAGAAAACCTTTACGCTGTAAACGCACACAGCATTTCTATCCCCACCTTCCCTGTGTGAGTCTGTTTTGACAAGCTGTCAAAGTATAAAAACAAAAGCTCACAACACTTAAGTAATATGCCAATTTAACACCAACACACATTCACCATATGTGTGCATTCAAAATAGAACCTTTTGAGTTAACATAAACTCATAGTGGATTATCTCATGCCTTTACATAAATCTCTCAACAACATTGCAGTGCACACAGTGATGGAGAGAGTTTCTTTTTGCTTGGATGCTGGGATGCTGATCGATGGGCTCAGTGCCACAAATTCCACATCACACATTCATGTCTCCCAAAAAGAGGACAACCAGCACTTTTATAGGAGCAGCTGGCCCAGCCCCTGGTTGACAGAAATAAATTCACACCAAAAAGTCACAAAAGCTCTTGTTCAAATTTATGAAATATCACACTATGTAATAATTTAAAAAGTCAACTTATAGTTAATTCAAGTTATGAAACAGTGAGTTTTGTGCTTTGCATGGATGTTTTGTGTTTACAAGATTTTGATTTGCTCAGCATATGCACAGGAGGAAAGGAAAGCAGCCGCTGCCTTTATCTTGGCACACACTCGGCTAATGTTCATATGTCATCTGATCTACCCACTCAACACCAACTAAACAGCATTAAAAATCATCCCATCCTAACATAATGTCCACATGTACCGGATCTTTTGCAGTTCGCTAAGCTTTAAAGTCCGAATACTGCATTGAGCTCCGCACACTTCCGCAGTCCACTTTCCCCGAACACCCCTAAAGCGCATTCACTCTATCCCGGCGTGATAATAAACACGTCCATGACTCTGGAAGTTTCTTACCTTTGTCTCCCTTATCCATGTTGCGCGCGGTGTTTTGGAGGAATCTTTCGTTGTTGCAGTTTTTTGTTGCGTAAAGGGCAGATACAGTGTGCTGAACCTCGCAGTAGTCGAGCAGCACAGAGCAGTCTTTACACCGCGCTACTGATGAATGAGTATGAGAGAGTTTGGGTCCCGGACACACAGGGAGGGAGTGCACAGTACTCATGCATGAACGTGTGTTCAAGAAAGATAGAGAAAGAGATATTAATGAATTGCTGTCGACGGAGCTGTCCACTTTCTGTAGTGCTGAAACGCTTTGTTTGTGTGGCTGCCAAGAGTGAATAATCATAATCACAGAGTCACTGCATCTGGTTATAATTACGTTGTTTAACTGAATGCAACCAAGCATATGTTTGAATAAGTGGTGGTGACACTTTACAATAAGCTTCATTAGTTAACATGAACTAATAAAGACCTGCACTTCAACAGCATTTAATAATCTTAGTTAATATTAATTTCAACATTTACTAATACATTTACATTAACAACATTTACATTTGTCTAACATTAACAAAGATTAATAAATGCTGTAACAAATGTATTGCTCATTGTCAGTTCATGTTAGTAAATGAACTCATGTCAACTAATGAACCTTATTGTAAAGTGTGACCGAATAAGTGACATATTCAGAGGTCAGAATATAGGGAATTCATGCGTTTGATGTTGAATTGGAAATTAAATTCAGCACAGCCATACACATTTTTCCACAAACCCTGAAGTAGAACATTATTCAATTGACTAATTGTATGTATTTGTTCCCTGATGTATAGAATGTATTTTCCCTCAATAGGCTTATTTCTTTAAACTGTTCAGTACTGTAAACTAACACAATTGATATCAATAGATAATCGCCATTAATACATTTTCATTTTGCTATAGAGAAATGAAGACAGAAAAAATATTGCTATTTGAATTTGAATTAAATTGGAAAATTTTGAATTTAAATTCTTTGCATTCAAACTACAATTTTACATAATGTTTTCCACCTCAGAAAGTGAATTTAAAAGACTTTCTCAGTTCAATTCTGAATGTCACACAGCCCTGTGAAATATTGTACCTTCTCTATTCACTAAACATTCATATTTTCCCTTTATGTATGTGAATTCTATAATTGTAATGATCTCATTGATCAAACTGCGAAGAACAGCAGCATCAGCGGTTTACAGGGACAAGGGAATAACGGCTTATGTTACCTCAGCTGTTAAAAAAAGAACTAGATGCTGCTATAAGAGTTCAGTGTTCTGTTCTGGTATTGGAGGCACAGTGTCATGTCAAACACAAAGGTCGATTTTAATGACCTCTCAAAGATTTGTTTTTTCAGAATCTCTGGGTGCATAATGCTTTAATAGCACATGTCAGCATTGTGTGGATGTGTCTATTTGTGCTGTAGATGTATGCAATTGTTCATCATCAGGAACTGGGTCTGGGATGTTGTGGTTATGTGGAAAGGTGCAGACTGGGATATTATGTCACTGAATGCGCTGACTCCGCGTGTCTGTGGAGTTCACTGTATATGTCGGTATGAAACAAGCACTGTACAGTACAGAGAACATAGCGGTGTCCAGTGGTGACAAATATGAACTATCAAAATCAGCCAATTTATTGGAACCTAAAGCCTTTGCACCCTTGCATGTATTGTCAAATTCAAAGGAAAATACACAAGTAATGAGGACATAATAAACTTTTTACTAAATAATAAGAGACTCAAAGTTTTGAAGATTTGGAACATCTATTCTTAATTAAAGGATTATGGAGAAAGTAAATGGATTGAGGTATAGTAAATCTTGTGTTCAATATTCCTATAATCACACATTATTCTTAAAGGTGTAGTTCACTTAAAAAAAAAAAAAAAACTTGTGCTGATAATTTACTCACCCACATGTCATCCAAGATATCCATGTCATTCTTTCTTCCCTTGAAAAGAAATTAAGGTTTTTGATGAAAACATTCCAGGATTTTTCTCCATATAGTGGACTTCACTGGTAACCAAACGGTTCAAGGTCCAAAAGACAGTTTCAGTGCAAACGGCAAACTGGTCAAAGGGCTTTAAACGATTCCAGACGATGAATAAGGGTCTTATCAAGTGAAACGATTGCTCATTTAAAAAAATAAAAAATAAAATAAAAACAAAGTTTAAGTTTTATAAGCTCAAATGATTGCCTTGCTCTGTTTTGTGATGCGCGTTCGTTACTCTCCTGTTCGAACTCGTTTATCAAAATGAACAAATCTATTTTCATGTCATTTGGTTCATTCAACGAACAAAAGATTTGTTCATTTTGATGAACGAGTTTGAACAGGAGAGTCACGAACGCACATCACAGAACAGAGCAAGGCGACCATTTGAGCTTATAAAATTTAAACTTTATTTTTTATTTTTTTAATTAGCGACCATTTCGCTTGATAAGACCCTTATTCATCGTCTGGAATCGTTTAAAACCCTTTGAAGCTGCACTAAAACTGTCTTTTGGACCTTGAACCGTTTGGTTACCAGTAAAGTGCATTATATGGAGAAAAATCCTGGAATGTTTTCATCAAAAACCTTAATTTCTTTTTGACTGAAGAAAGAAAGACATGGACATCTTGGATGACATGGGGTGAGTAAATTATCAGCAAAAGTTTTTTTTTTTTTAAAGTGAACTACTCCTTTAAGTGTAAATATTATATCTGCTTATGTGACATAAATTGATACAGACATACTGTATGCCACATACATTTTACTTCCATGATGCACATGATTCCTTCCTGTGCTTACAGCATAGCTCAAATGCCCATGTTGTCTAAATATAAATGACTTCAAATATTTATTGCGCTATGTATTATTTACGTATGCAATCATTTACATTCAAAAATAACAATTTTAAAAGTTGACCAATTTGATTTGATTTTGACCAAGCATAAGAAAAATCAAAGTTCCAAACCAAAACAGCTTTCAAAACAATGCACAATTCTTTATTTACTGGAGGAACAACACAGGTAAGCTAGATTGTTTGAGGTACAGTACAAACTATACGATTGATGCCCTACTCTGTATTTTTTATTTTGAGAAGCAATTAAAGGAATAAATCAGCAAAAAATGAATCATCATTAACTCATCCACAAGTTGTTCCAAACCTTTATTCATTTCTTCTGCTGAACACAAATATATTTTTGAAGAATATGGGTAACCAACAGTTGCCACTGACTCAATGGTGCCCCACAACTGTTTGGCTACAAACATTCTTCAAAATATCTTCCGTTGTGTTTACAAAGGTTTGGAACAACATGAGGGCGAGTAAAAGTGAACTATCCCTTTAACATTAGTGATAAGAGGGCTTATGTTATATACAGTAGCTGCTAGTCACTTTCATAGTTCAAAAACAAAATAACATCCTTTTATTCTCCAACAGCAGCAACATTTTCAGGGCTTTAAGTCACTTTAGACAATTCTGCATTAGTTGAACATTTTTGTCCTCACTCTAATAACCTCACTCTAACTGGGCATTAATGTACATTTTTTTAATTGCACTTAAGGAATGTGATTTAAATCAACTATAGATAGAAAAGGTTTGGCTTTAATTGACATATTTTTTGTTGCTTCCTCTAAATAAATAACAAGTTATGTTAATTGACCACAAACATAAAGAGGTGATATACGGAAATGGGAATGTGTCGTCTCAGTCAACACAGATGCAAAACACATGTCTGATTCTATTGTTTGTTACAACAGACTTTTCATCAGAATAACAATACCATCTACAGGACATATGCTATATTTTCATATACTATGTAAATCATTGTCCAGAATGCGCTAGACTTACACAGCTCTTCTTCTCAGAGTCACCTTTGATATGAAATCCCCTTAAGGTGCAAATTGGGATTTTCCACTCAGTAAGGCCAGTCTTATAGAACTGTTGCAGTTGTTTCCTCCAGAAGATCCTCTCCAGTCTGATGTAAGCAGGCACAAGGACACAGCTCCAGTTTATGGACAGTGCCATGCACACCCCTCGGGTAAAACCGGAAATAGACCTAAGTTTTCAGAAGAACTTGTCATCAATACGGAAGTGAGGTCGCGTGACGTCGTCGGGGTTGATGAATACAGAGATGGACTTGCCTGGATTCTCGGTCACCAACTGCTGTAGCTTCTTGGCCAAGCGGTCATCTGGCTGCTGGTGATCTGCTGAGGAAGGATCCGCCAGTGGAGAGGGCAGTCCTGAGGAACTCCCGCGACGCTGCATCTCCAGCGTCAGTCTGTTGGCCGCCTTGGCTTGTTCAATGACGGAGCGCAGGTGTTCACCGGGATCCGAGCGTACCAGCGCTAGCTTACGGGCATGAAATATGGCGGTCTCGTCACACAAGTGCTCCAACATGTTACACTGCGGGATGAAATAGTTAGGGCAGGTCTTGTTGACAAGGCAGTGCTGCAGGTCATCAATGAGGCCTAGCAGGAAGTGTGCAGCGTAGTCTTCCTGTGACAAATAGCTTGCAGGTAGTCGGTCACAGGCCCACAGCATAATGCTGCGTAAGTAGTAGGGACTGATAGCTGTGGGTTGAGCCAGCAGCTTTACAACTATTGCCTTGCACGCCTGGTAAGCTTGCATGAGGCCTGGTGAGATGCACTTTTTCAACTGCACCTCGCTGCGGGCGAAGGAGAGACGCCACTCGTTTTCCTGGCAACCAGAGGCTGAGCAGGCAGGCAGCAGATAGAAGCCGCTGATGACCTCCTCCTCTGTGATTTTGCCATCCCAGAAGTGGTTCTCCATCAACCAGCTCTGAGCAACCGCTGGCCAGCCTTTAAAAGACACCACAGGTACAATGTCATAAAGCATGCGACTACTGCCCACACCTAAAACCATAGACAGCAGCGTGCTGTGACGCTCCACCCGCTCCACCCTTGGGGTGCCCCTTTGTGGCTTGCGTTGCAACTCCGTCAGCACCAGTCCGACAGCTTCTTGGAACCAGTCAGCTACCAGTGTGGGTGAGAAGAAGTAATTGGTGGTGCCGTTCAGATGGTCAGTCAGCGTGCAGCAGTCTCGCCAACGATTAATGGTACCCTCGTCAAAAAGTCGCAAGCTGAGCCAAGAATGACCTAGTGCTGAGTGGCGCATGTCCAGTGTGACAGGCTGGTTCCGGTCATGCAGCTTAAGTGCAGGAACCAACAGGGTGAAGGCCATGTCATAGTCAGAGCCACGGTTATAGATGCCAAGCTCATCCAGATCCATGTCCACCACACCTTCTCTCACACCACCGGACAACAATAGGTACTCATTGGCAACAGGCAACTTTTGGTCCAGCTTTTGCACCATGCCTGAAACAGAGAACATACGTACATCATCACAAGTGGTTATAAGAATTACACAAATCAACAAATTATATAACTTTGTCATCATGAAAAATTAAAGGTTCCACAACAGACTCAAGGACGATATATGTTTTCGGAGGACTTTATATCAGAGGAGAAATTCTAAATTTGGGGTTCACAGTGAAATGGTCCTGACTTTGGGAAGATTAAATTTTGTTGTCATCATGTAAAAAAAATAATTTCATTTTTAATACAATCCTTGTTGTGAAAAAGTACCACTCCCTGCACTTTCCAGTTCTTTGTCCATTCTAGTCTGTGTTAAGTGGTTGTTATCTCTGTTTATCTCTTGATTTTTTTTGTGAATTTAAAATAAAAACTATTTGTTTGAAACTCTATCATCTTGGGCTCATTACAGCCACATGAAAGATGTGTTTTGTTTTTTCATTTCTTCCCTTCACATGTGGACCTGCCAGCAGTACACCTCTTATGCCTGGAGCAGAATGACTGCTCCCTGGAGTCACACACCAGGGACTTTTTGGAGTTGACATGTCTAATGCCAAGTTCACATTGCATGATTTTAGGTCCGATTTTTGCTCGCCGACAGGTTTTGGGAGATTGCAGACAAATGCCTGAATGATCAAAAATGCAATCTGAGAGAATCACAGATCGCGCGATTCAAAATCCTGCTGTGTGAATGTGTTCTGACAGAAAACTACATCTGTGATGACCTACAGCCAATGAGAGAGCAAGATACAGGGCAGCAGGAAACAAAGCATAAACATTTTCTTGACCAGCAGCACATTGCAAAATTATTTATTTACCCCCAACTCTCTTTGCAGAACACACAATCCTTGCTCCCTGCGTCTCCCCAACCATTTCCTCCTGCATAATTTGTTTGTGCTTTTCTCCTTTTCGCTGCAAATCAGTGCACGGACATTTTGGATCGCAATCTTCTTGCAGGCTATCATTTTTAATAACAATTCCAGTCTCGTGCTTGAACTCGAGTCTTGCGTTATTTCCTAATCACTTCTCGCGGGCATTTGGTTGTGAAATGTTGGTGTGGACCAGACTGAAGTTGTCGACGATTCTTTCTTTTGTAAAGTCATGCAGTGTGAAACCTCCTGTTGCTGATCCATCGTGCAGTGTGCACACAGAAGCAACTGAATGCTACCGCAGAGATAGTCATGCAGTGTGAAAAGAACGTTGACTGTGAACTTGCCATAACTCACTATCCAGACCACTCGCTCTGTGTTTTCTACATCGCTGGGTCAAGGGCACGCCTCCCAGGGAGTGGTCCACAAAAGGATTTCGCCACATGTGTGGAGTGGGTACTGGTGAACAACAACTCGGAATTCACCATTGGCCCGTTGGAAAACACCAGTCTCACTCAGATCCCAGTCAGCCTTCACACAGACTGATGGAGCTACAGCCTAATTCCACCGCAGACTGTGGAGATTGTCCTGATGCAATGAACAAGCCAGAGACTAACTGCGCCAGACATCGCCCCGGAGCACAAGCCACATGGAGAATCTGACAATGTGCTTGAGTCGACAACAACCCTGTCTTCAAGGGAATATTAATGGAATTCGAGGGCATGGATAGAAGCCCCTCCAACCACACCACTGGGAATGAGTTCTGCCTGGCCTCTGGAAACTGTCCAGATCTTTTGAGGAGGTAATTCCCCTGTCTGCTAATACTGCCCAGTCTAGAGTTTCCCCACTGGTCCCAGTCAGCCTAGAGCAGGGTTCACCAATCTCGGTCCTGGAGGGCCACTGTCCCTGCAGAGTTTAGCTCCAACCCTGATCAAACACGCCTACCTGTGAGTTTCTACTGACTCTGAAGACCTTGATTAGCTTGCTCAGGTGTGTTTGATCAGGGTTGGAGCTAAACTATGCAGGGACAGTGGCCCTCCAGGACCGAGATTGGTGAACCCTGGCCTAGAGATTTCTGTTTCCGTGCTGGTCCCACCCAGCCTAGAGTTTTTTGTTTCCCCACTGGTCCCACCCATCCTAGAGATTTCTGTTTTCCCCCTGGTCCCAACCAGCCTACAGTTTTCCGTTTCCCTGCTGGTCCTGCCCAGCTTTCTGTTTCCCCATTGGTCCCACACAGCCTAGAGATTTCTGTTTTCCCCCTGGTCCCACCCAGCCTAGAGTTTTTCGTTTCCCTGGTGTTCCCGCCCACCCTAGAATTTCCGGTTTCCCCACTGGTGCTGCCCAGCCCAGAGTTTTCTGTTTCCCCGCTGGTCCTGCACAGCCCAGAGTTTCATATGTTTCCTGAGTGCATGCCCAGCCTCCCTCTCCCACCTCCTGTTCCCAAATCAGCCAGTACCTCAGCCCCAACTCCAACTACACATAACTTTTAGAATCTGTCTCCGCAGTTCAGGCCACCATCTCAGCCTAGTCCAAAGGATCCCCTTGCTCCGCCTCCAGCCTCTGAACCCATGGCTTCGCCTCGGCCTGGCGACCTGTCGGCTCTTCTTTAACTCCTCCCTCCCTTGGCTCCATCAGAAACCATCATCCTAACAGCTCCACTGCGCTGCATCATCCCTCCTTGCATTGACGCCTTGGTCAGACGCCTTCCCTCCGGCTCTACCCCAGATGCTCGTTACCACGACTCCACTTCGGTCTCATCAGTGCCATCAATTATTACGTGTTTAATCATTTTGTCATAAAAAAACTTTACATTTTTCAAAACTATTTATAATTTTAGTGATATGATTCTCTACAAAGATGCTTTTCATTAATCTAAAAAACTAATGAACTAAAAACATTATTGGCTAAATCTTCCTGTTGGGTTATGAATATGTATATTCAGCAAAAAAGCTCACACCTTCAAATGCTTTTTTTTCCAGCAAAATGTCTTATTATTTGAAAATATAAAAAGATTACTCAAGACTCAACAAATTTCACAGACATTTGACAAACAGAAATGGAATAATGAGTCTGAAAAGAGCGTGGGGTCAATATCAATTTTTTTTGTTTTTTTTGTTTTTACTGTTGTCATGTTTAAGAGGCCACATGATTGTTCATGCAATGAATGTGATGTTATTAGTTCTTCATGTACATTTTTTACCCACTCTTAGGATTAATTACATAACATTGAACAATTTAAGCTTCCTGTCACATGACCAAAAGCTCTTCCTCTTCAGTGATGAAGACAGCAGAGCACTTTCTTTAGACGTCTATTTCCAGTGGATCAATATGAGGGCTTGAAAGTTGACACCAGCAGCACAAGGTAAAAGCATCAGGAAGGAGGAAGGAGGAGGAACGTAACATTTACATTTGTTCACATTCTATTGTGTGCCTATACTGGCTTTTAGGGCACATAGAGTTGCTGCTGAGCAAGGATGCAGCTGGCGGTTTAATGTTCTCAAGCATGTCAAATTGTTCTTAAGCATCCAGCCTCACACAAGCTGAGCTTTCATCTGTCCCCATTGAGGATGGGGATGCACTCAAATATTTATAGCTGTTCCCTGAATGGGGCAGTTTGACTCAGTGTCCTTGGAAGCACTCACTATGGTAAATTTATTTACCTTCTTTTGCCACTTACTGTATATTTTTAATATCTCGTAGCACTTTCTAATGACAAATTTCCTTACAAAAAGTAGGGCAGCGCAAACTGTTTTTTTTTTTTTTTTTTTTTTTTTCATTTCATACATTAGAAGTTTTTTTGATTTGGTGTTTTGGATCATTGTCTTGCTGCATCATCCAAATAAACTTATACACTGACATTCTCCTAAAGAATTGTCTGGAATGAATACTTCCTTCAACGATAGAAAGTCAGAAAAACATCCATATTTAACCACACATTGTTACCATCATGTTTCAGAATGTCATTCTTGTAGTGGAATGCCGCATTTGTTTTATAGAAATTAAATTGTTTTGATGGTTTCCAGAATACGGAGACAATTACTTTTTTTCACAGGGAGGGACAATATAGTTAATAGTTAAAATTAAGGAAATAATGATTTTAAAAGAATGCTTTATTTTTTTCTGTTTTCCATAGTCTAATATAATTTTATATTTGATGATTTGAAGCCATTCAATTACTTTTTTCATGGCATTATAATTCAAAGGAATTCACTAAACAGCTGAGAGAAACCGATATAATTTTACACAGGCAGAAAAGTTTACGTATTACAACACACACACGGTCGTGGCGGCGGTGTTGCAACAATCTATAAAGATATTTTTAATATTACTCAGAAAACAGGTCACAGGTTTAATTCATTTGAAGTACTTGTGCTAAATGTTACGCTCTTAGATGTAAGAAGGAAATCTATATTATCTCTAGCCCTGGCTACTGTATATAGACCTCCATGGCCATATGCTGAATTCCTAAAAGAGTTCGCAGACTTTCTCTCGGATCTATTGGTAAATGTCGATAAAGCAATAATTGCTGGAGATTTTAACATTCACGTAGATAATACAAATGATGCTTTAGGGGCTGCGTTTACAGATTTATTAAACTCCTTTGGGGTCAAACAAAACGTCAGTGGTCCCACTCATCGTCTAAATCATACACTAGATTTAATTATATCATATGGAACCGATCCAACTGATATAGATATTATACCGCAAAGCGATGATGTCACTGATCATTACATGGTGACTTGCATAATACGTACTGCTGAAATATGTCATGTTGCGCCACGTTATAGACCAGGCAGAACAATCCTTCCAACCACTATAGATGGATTTTCAAATAGCTTACCTGATCTATCTAAGCTGCTAAGTGAACCCAAACAAACAGATGAATTAGAGGAAATGACTAGCAGTTTAAGCACCATTCTTACTAGTACATTAGATATTGTTGCGCCAATTAGATTAAAAAAGGTTCGAGAGAAAATTAAAGCACCATGGTACAACAGTGCTACGCATGCTATCAAGAGAGAAACTCGCAACTTAGAGCGTAAATGGAAACAAACTAATTTAGAGGTCTTTAGAATCGCGTGGAAAGACAGTATGTCACGTTATAAAAAGACACTAAAAACAGCCAGGGCTGAGCATCTCCGCAAACTAATCGAAAATAACCAAAATAATCCAAGGTTTTTATTTAACACCGTGGCTAGACTAACAAATAAACAGACATCACCAGAGCAAAATATACCTTTACAGTTTAGTAGTAATGATTTTATGAATTACTTCAATGCGAAAATAGAAAGCATCCGAAACAAAATTATAAATGTACAATCCGCTATGGTGTCTTATGATTCAGCTTCAACTATGGACCCTCTAGAACAACTAAACCGCTTTACAACGATAGGACAGGAGGAGCTAAATAAACTTATCATTGCATCTAAACCAACAACTTGTTTATTAGATCCAATACCCACTAAACTACTGAAAGAACTATTACCTGTAGTGGAAGAGCCTCTCCTCAATATTATTAACTCGTCTTTATCTTTAGGTCATGTCCTAAAAATATACAAGCTGGCTGTAATAAAACCGCTCATTAAGAAACCGCAATTAGATCCAAATAACTTGGCAAATTACAGACCCATTTCAAATCTTCCATTTATGTCCAAAATACTTGAAAAAGTAGTGTCCGCTCAATTGTGCTCTTTTTTGCAAGAAAATGATATCTATGAAAAATTCCAGTCAGGATTCAGACCGCATCATAGTACAGAAACTGCGCTAGTTAAAATTACAAATGATTTACTTTTAGCTTCTGACCAAGGCTGTATCTCAATACTAGTCCTACTTGATCTTAGCGCTGCGTTCGACACTATAGATCATATAATACTCTTGGATCGACTACAAAACTTCACCGGTGTCCAGGGACAGGCATTAAGCTGGTTTAGATCGTACTTATCGGACCGTTCTCATTTTGTCTGTTTAAATGGGAAAAAATCAAAGATAACGTCAGTAGACTATGGAGTACCGCAAGGATCGGTTTTAGGCCCTCTGCTATTCTCAATATATATGCTGCCACTTGGTAATATTATAAAACATGGAATTAATTTCCACTGTTACGCTGACGACACTCAATTATATATTTCATCACGACCAGATGAAAACACTAACTCATCTAAAATGACAGAGTGTCTCAAAGATATAAAATGCTGGATGACGCGTAATTTCCTGCTATTAAATTCAGATAAAACGGAGGTATTACTTATTGGTCCAAAAAACTACTCACAAAACCTCTCACAATACAACTTTAATATAGACGGATGTCCTGTTACTTTATCCACTACAGTAAAAGACCAGGGTGTTATACTAGACCGCAACTTGTCTTTCGAAGATCATATTTCATATGTTACAAGAACAGCCTTTTTCCACCTTAGAAACATTGCTAAGCTACGTAACATGCTATCTGTTTCTGATGCTGAAAAATTAGTTCATGCATTCATGACCTCAAGACTAGATTACTGTAATGCTTTATTAGCCGGTTGTCCTGCATCCTCAATAAACAAGCTACAGTTAGTACAAAATGCAGCTGCTAGAGTTCTTACTAGGTCAAGAAAATATGATCATATAACACCGATTTTATCATCTCTACACTGGTTACCTATTAAGTTCCGCATCAACTACAAAATACTACTACTGACCTATAAAGCCCTAAATGGTTTAGCACCTATGTACTTAACGGACCTTCTTTCGCCCTACAATCCACCGCGTTCCTTAAGATCACTAAATTCAAGGCTTCTGGTCATTCCTAGGATATCGAAGTCCAGTAAAGGAGGGAGGGCGTTCTCGCATTTAGCTCCAAAACTCTGGAATGGCCTTCCCGATACGGTCCGAGCCTCTGACTCGCTGACACAGTTCAAAACTAGATTAAAGACGCATCTCTTTAGTCAATCATTCACATAATGCTTACCTTCTAGTCCTCTGTTATGCCATACGGAACCGTTTGCCACTGAAACTGCTTAACGCACCAGTGGGGCTCGACAGCCTTTTAGACAAACGGGTCGGCGCGTATGGTTGGGTTGCGGAGAGTTCGGGTTACGGAGAGTTTGTGAGTTATAACGGAAATCATTATGAACATCAGCTATGCTAATTATTTCCCATCTGCCTTTCTGCTGTTATCTCGGGACGCTTGTCCCGAGAAAAATGGCGTTCGTCAGGTCCAGTTTTGTGTCCAGCCTCTCACGGGGATTTCGGATGCCCCAACGCCTGTGATGAGACGACTCAACGCCTGTGATGAGACGACTCAACGCCTGCGATATGTTATGGCGCCGTTTGATTCATAAACAATATTTATACTTAATATTTATATTTAAACAATATGAATGTAAGCCAGAGGAGAACTGGCCCCCGACTGAGCCTGGGTTCTCCCAAGGTTTTTTCTCCATCCAATCTGATGGAGTTTGGTTCCTTGCCACTGTCGCCTTGCTTTTGGCTTGCTTTGAGCTTGCTCAGTTGGGGTTATTTAGTGTTTAGCAATGTTGTTGATCTGTGTTGTGCTACTTTCATGTTATCACTGTGAAGCTGCTTTGATACAATCTGTATTGTGAAAAGCGCTATATAAATAAATGTGACTTGACTTGACTTGACACACACACACACACACACACACACACACACACACACACACACACACACACACACACACACACACTCATATAAAACATTAGGCATTAGTACTTTCCCAGTTAAATCTTCCTTCCTACAATTCCCCCTGATGTTTAGAAAAACCCAATCTATTCCCACATTCCTCCACCCATCATTCTTTAAATCAGTCTCCCACAGAGATTCCAACTCTCAAAGACATGCAGTGTCACTTTTGTTCCATCTGTCTCATTTGCATACACAGACACTGCAGGCCAATCAGCCTCCTGCTTTCTGAATTGAGCTGGGTGAATGGCAGTGAGTGAAAGTGTGAGAACAGAATGAGAGGAAGCTGTACATTACGTCTGCCTCAATGGATGGGTTCCCATAATTGCCTGAATGCCTCCTTACACCCACTCCCCCCTAGTCTGGAAATTTCTGTTAAAAATATCCACAATTCTAAAGAATCGGTCTTAGATTAGTCATACAATTATTTTTAGACATGTAGGATTAGTTATATTAAAAAAGATTAACAAATAAACACACATACTCAGAAGGTAACAAAAGAGGTTGTTTAAAGGGATAGTTCAACCAAAAATGAAAATTCTGTCATTTGCTCTCCCTTAAGTTTCTTCTGAACAGAAAAAAAAAAGATGTTTGGAAGAATATCAGTAGCCAAACAGTTAATGGGCTTCATTGACTTCCATAGTATTGTTCCTCATACTATTGAAGTCAATGGTTACTGCCAACTGTTTGTGTTCATCAGAAGAAAGAAATTCATACAGGTTTGGAATAACTTGAGGTTGAGTAAATAATGACAGAATTTTCGTTTTTAGTTAAACTATCCCTTTAATAAGGTCTCAACGTCTTGAAACTTGTAGTTGGAGTTATTGATACAGTAATTGCACAATAGAAACATGAAATTATTGTACTGTAATTTATCATTTTTGTAATTAGTGATACATTTTTCAGCTTGTTTATTACATTTTACACATTTACTCATTTAGCAGACGCTTTTATCCAAAGCTTTTTATAATTATATAAGATTCTAACTGAACTCAAGTCATTCACTTTTACAGTACATTTATTTTTGAACTAACCCCATACATACATGATTAATTTATGCACCGTGTTTGCTCTGTCCATACACTGCTCTTTGTCAAAGGTATTCACTTTTTCATGTGTAAGCGGTTAGAGGGATTCAACATGTGGACATAATCATTCTGATCCCTTCAAATAGTAGATTAGGGGCATGCATTCATCCGACTACTGTGGAATTATTCTGCAAGAGGTCAAACATAATCCCGCTTAAGAACAGACCAAAATGGATTCAGTGTTTGGATAATGTAAGATGCTAAGAGATGTTGCATAAAGCACTAAAGCACTATACAGATTGTAACACCATCAGCATACAATGATCAACCTATGCAAATTAAGTTAGCCTACAATATTTTTTATAAGCTAGATTAATAAATATTTTAGTCTAAAACCTCTTACATATTAAATACGTGTGAAAAAAATATTGGTACAGTACATCTGACCATTTCTTTATAGCATACCATTAGGTATACCAGATATTATTTTTCACTTAATAAAACAGAATAAAAATGAATGATGGGCCGAATGAATAACAATTCTAATTATTTGAACAACATATGAATAGGTTTGAAGATGCTATTACCGAGCATAGAGAAGATGAAATCCTTGGCGGTGTGTATTTCCAGTGCCCTCTGGTCATCATACTCTCGTTGGTCTTGTTTGCTGAATTCATGGATGAGTCGGTTGAGCTCCTCGATCTTCACTCCGGACCTGAAGTCCAGCTCGTGGCAGCACCACAGCTTGTGGTTGTTGTTGTTATTTAAGCCTCCTGGTGCTGCGGTTGGACTGTTCCCCAGGCTGCTAACGGATCCGGTCCGGCTGCTCGGAGCTTGGACCGCCATATTTACGACAGAGGTACCGTCGGGATGCGACGCTTCTCGTGGTGGATTCCCCTCCTTTTTTAATAGATCAGGTGGTCTTTGATGGAGCCGTGATGTCATGCAATCCACAAGCAGTCTTGCAGAACAGCCCATGGAAAATCGAGTAGTAAGGTTCAGACATTTTGGTTCAGACATTTGTAAATCGCCTGTTTATAAATAGGCTAGGATAGCCTATATTAGAGAGAGAAAGAGTTTAAAAAACAATAGCCCATTCATTTAGCCCATTTGCATTCATTTGATAAAAAAATTGGTTACTGTATTTTACAGTGCAATTACTGTTGCCTATTACTAAATAATCCATTAATTAGCCTACTTGCAACTAACCTAAATATAATTCTAACCCTATTATTATGTCATAATCACACTGTAACATGGACACCGTAAAATAAAGTGTAACCCTTTTTAAAAAGAAAAAGAAAAATCTCTGTTCACAAAGCTCCTTATGCTGAGCAGATGATGTGTCAACCCTTGTTGCTGTTTCAATTCCCATAAAATTATTTTTCAAAACGTCTAATCTTTACGATATGTATTGGCCCATTCCTTTAATTTCTTCTTATTTTATTCTTATTTACAGTGTCAGTTGTGGCTTTTTCATAGAAACTGCCTAAAAGAGCCAATTAACAGCCTTCTCTTCTCTAATGCAGTGTTTGGCTTGCTTTCTTCTGTTTCTTCTGACAGTATCTTCATTGCTCAAAAGAACAAGGCTGAGTTTCTGGAGAAATGTGTTTGACTTACAATTGCATTTATTTTTCATAAAACGTTTCAACTGTGGATATAGTAATAGTGTTCTGAAATTTTCACATTACAGTGAGTTAGGATTATAATACAGTTTTTTCTTAGTAGACATTCTCTCACGCTTTAAATGTTTCCATCAAAGTTACAAATTAAATTTTAAAGTAGGCATATAAAAAATAATAAACAATAGGAAACAAAACCAGTTTTCTACCTTAGTAAACAGAAACAGTGTCTGTAAAAAACATATTTTCCCTTTGAATGGCTGTGTATAATAATAATAATAATATTAATAATACTTATTATTATTGCATTTGCTAATTAGTTAAGTAATCAATTAATGCTCAACTAAATAAGTAGAAGTTGGAAGACAAAAATAACTCATTAGCCTACTAATATGTAATCCAGAGTGATGCTGTTGAAAAGGAGGGGCGGGGCGATGGGTCTTCAGTGCTGCTGATGTTTCTGCCTTTCTGCGCAGACATGACGCAGCTATAGCGTCCATGAACATTTGTTTTGTAATATTAATTTCGGGTTGTATCAAATTTTGAACGGGCTGCAATTCAATCTAATAGTTATACTATTTTTATGATTTTAGTTAACACATTCGGCTTGGATCTTTGTACATCTAAGTCTGTGTTAGTCAAAGCACGCGCGTTGTTGTTGTACCACGTGGTTCTTGACGACCCAGCAGTGCTCTCTGCAAACCAGGGACATGGCATGGAGGGGTTGCTTCATGAAACGGGCCAAAATAAACTCGCTATATACACAATTCCTGTCTCCAAAAAGCTCCAGGTAACGTTAACTACCAGAGTCTTGCATGTAACGTTAGTTGTCACGCTTTGCTAAGAATGACATGAAGTACTTTTCAGTCTCCTCCAATGTTGTGATGACCGTTTTGAAGTATTTTTTTTTAACTTGTTTTAAATTGTCTCTCATTGTTTCTCGTGGTTGTGTAACTTATATTTATTGCCTATATGTTTTGCACCGCTGAGCGTTTTTGCTACTGTCCTCACTAGACTAGACTAGCAAGCTAAAGGTCAAATTGAATGTAACAGGAAGACAGTAGAACATGAGAAAGGTGCTAAAAACATATACAATCTGCTTGGTAGATTAACCATCCATCCTCAGCAAAGATGTGGCTTCAAGAAAGCTCAGAGACAATCCGAGACAAAAAGAGGTCTCCAAGAGGAGACTGAGGCGGGTCAAAAGCATGTTGTTTCACCCCTTCCAGGAGAACAGGTGCCCCCTAAACCACTGCCACCCAGAAAACCACATAGACTCTTCAGGCCCCTGGTGTTCACAGTGGGGGTACGTATTTCTTCTTACCACCACAATCATGAGAAACCTGAAAATGTGATTATTACATTTAAAATTGTGACTTTCATGTTTGCAAAAGTCATGGAAATAAGTAAAATCTTAAATGTTGATCATAATCTTTAATTCTCGACTCGGGTCTCGTTTGAGACATCTGTATGCTACTAAATCATTGTACAAAATAAATAGCTTACAAATGATAATATGTCCAGTATTCTATGGATTTCTTTAGAAATCTGATGTATCATGTATTGACTGGAGGAGTCATGAAAATTTTTGGTCAAAACATTTACCTCATTATGGAGATAAGAGCCACCTTGAAAACATACCATACATATTTGCTTTATTCAGCTTGTCAAATGTCGATTTGTTGGTTTCTGTAGAGGCTGTTCTAACACCATTTCAGTTTACAGGCTGCTCGTTCGGCACGGCTGCCATCTTGCAGTATGAATCAGTAAAGTCACGAGTGCAAATGGCCATGGAGGAGGCCAAAGAGGAGAAGCGGGATAAACTCGGAGAGGTACAATATTAGTGTAGAACAATTTTATAAGACCAGAAAATTTACCAGTTGTGTTCATAACACTGCGGTTGCATTCTGTGCAGGGTCATAACACAACATACTGGCATAACTGGTGGAATCAACTGTCACACTTCCAGAAGCAGGTGATTCTGGTCATGTCTGTGGTCGATGATTGGTGGAGTGGACTCAGTGAAGGACAAAAGACAGTCACAGGTCAGATCTACATTGAAAATATATGTTTAGGGGCTTAGGGCTTTTTTTTACACTGCACTTAATCCTGGGTTATCGTTGTCTTAAAGTGTAAATTGCAGGTTACATTTTTCACGAAGATAATGCAATGTGCTTACTAAACATAAAGGTAAGAACTGCCCACAATTGTTTTTTTTTATGTTTTTTTTTTTTTTAACAAAAGCATATAATATGAAAAGTTGGTACATTTTACAGTGGTTTTAAGCACGCCCCCTTCCCTTCCAATAGGCTAGGCGTGACGTCATAAAAGGCACTCCAAGCTTTTACTGTCTATGGCTGGTCTATGCTCCAAGCCTAGAGTTACAGTTAGTCTAAACGGCAAATAGGTCAGCAGTTACATTGGAGACCTAGCTAGCAAAAATGTTAACTATTGTGTTTGTGTGGGATGTACGAATACATCAAAAACGGGCTCCACAAGTTCCCCAAGGACAAACGGCTAATTCGTGCCTGTAAAAGCCCGATCCTACCCGAGTACATTGTGTCCGAGCCTGGCCCGGCCAGACACATTAACTGTAATTATGAGCTTGAGCCCAATTTAAAAACTCAATTTAATAATTTAATTTTTTTAATACGGGGGTCATTATTATAACTGACGTTCCCAACTACTTTCTATTTTTCCTTCTCCCGCCCGCAACATGTTTTTTCCCGCTCCTGCCCGCAAAAATACTTTTTTTTTCTGTACCTCCAAATACTTTCAAATTAGCTTACATGTCACCATCATACACATAAATTATTTGTTATTAAAGCATTAACACACAAACCACACTGTTATAACATAAAAACAAGCAGGCTAACTTACAGTCATGCAAACAACTTGAGAAATATCCTGGAATGTTTTCCTCAAAAACCTTAATTTCTTAATTGAAGACTGAAGAAAGAAAGACATAAATATCTTGGATAACGTGGGGGTGAGTAAATATATTATTACATTTTAATTCTGCACTGAACTAATCCTTTAAATAAAATACTTGATAGATGTGCAGTGCTAGAGCTGTTATGTGAACATATCGCGTGACACCGACACTGCAAATATGCAAACAAGGACGTTAACCCAGGGATTAGGGATGTACAGTATGAAACGGTAGCACATGAATACCCAAGATTAATTGTTGGCCATTGCGTTCCCAGAAATCAACACATGTCTGTGATTGGCTACATCGCTCAACGTTGCAAACATGAATACCCGGCCGGGATTAATTATTTTGACCCTGGGGAAATTATAATTAATCAAAAGGCAATAAAGACAGTTTATGATTTTAAATATCTAGGGGTTATTTAGATTCTTTATTAAAATTGATGTGCATGTAAAGATGCTGTGTAGAACTATCAGAAAAAAAACTTGAATTGTTTTATGATTAGACTGTGTGTGTGTGTGTGTGTGTGTGTGTATATATATATATATATATATATATATAATTAAAATGGTTTTAAAAGAATCTTAAACAAACTTTCTTCAGATATCATATGCCAATTAATATCCAAACTGAGTAGTAAGAGGTGCACTACAAGACATGCAACTAATCAGAATTGGATGGTAGCCTACCGAAGAGAAAAACTACATTTGCAAAGTCTACATTTTCAGTTAACGGTACACTGCTTTGGGTCAGTTTGCCAGTTGAACTGAAAGTGCAAACAAAGTAGAGCATTTTTCAAAGAAATCTTAAAAAAGGCAGGTTTGTAAACATTGATGGTTGTTCACAGTCTTATTGCTTAGCTTTTTTAAAAGTTTAACTAGAGATTTGGGCTGCAATTTAGCCTTTGGCTAGAAGCCTCTATGTAGAGCATCAGCTGCTCGAAATTATATCAATGTTTTTTTCTGCATTGTTCCTGTTAAATAAACAAAAAAGAATGTGAAGCAGTGTTTAACCAGGGTTAACAATGACCTGGGGTGAAAAGCCCTCTTCTGTAGGTCCAAACTATAGTCTGCTTTCTGCCTTTAAGTTCACACCCCAATATCACCTTGTTTTTTAGGTATCATAGCTCTAAACACTCTGGTTCTGTGTTGTTGGAGAATACCTTCAATGCAACGCTCTTTGGTCAAGTACTTTACATCTAACCCTGCTTCCAGTAAGTGAGTGCTGAGAGTCATTCAATGTGGTTCAGTGAGAAATTTCTTAAATTGATAGTTCACCCAGAATAAAAATGAATCATCTGTATGATGTTCTTTCTTTCTTCTGCAGAACACAAAAGAAAATATCTCAGTGTTATTATTTTTTTTTCTGTACAATGAAAGTCATTGGGTTCTGTCATGTTCTTCTGGATCTCACTGCCTTTCATTGTATGGGCAAATACAATGGAAACTTTCTTTAAAATATCTTTTGTTTCGCTGAAGAAAGAAAAAAGTCTTACAAGTTTGTAACGACATGAGGGTGAGGAAATAATGGCAGCATTTTCATTTTGGGGTGAACTATTGCTTTAAGTGTATTTATTTTGACAGATACCATTGGTTTGTGTGTAACCACCATTTTTGGCAAGATGTTCCTGGTAGGTTTTGCCGTCAACCTTTAGCCTGCTTTGTTTTTATTTCAGAGACACGTTGCCTTCCTATGGTTCTGTCTTCTTTCAGCCATTACTCCATCATTCACATGGTGACCAACATGTATGTGCTATGGACCTTCTCTTCTAGCATTGTCTCTCTGCTTGGGAGAGAGCAGTTTTTGGCCCTTTATCTGTCTGGAGGTTGGTAAATTGTTTAATAAACACTAAAAAAATATTATCTGTCTGTATTTTAGCACATACAGTCCTGGTCTAATTTGATAAATGTATTTTCTTAAGGTGTAATCTCCACATTTGTCAGTTACGTGTTTAAGACAGCTACTGGTCGTCTGGGTCCTTCGCTAGGAGCGGTGAGTTTCCTGTGTCCTGCAAAATCCAACTTAAAAGCCAATTATAAATGAACAAATTGAATACTTATTGGTCAAATCCACATGATAGTAACAGCACCCATAGTTATTTTTGTTACATCTGGTGCATGGGGTCTTACCAGAAAATCTTCTGCTATCTAATAACCATAACAAACGAAGACAAAACATAACAAATTAACATATGCACATTGTATAATAACTTCCATAAAAACCTCTTATCTGCATGTTAAAAGCTGTAAAAGTTAACTCTTTACCCATTATTGATGGAATTTTCTGGCTTTCTGTGTTTTCACCATTATACTTTAGGGGGCGCTATGACACATCATCAGAAAGAGTACAGAAACTCTGGATTAAAACACGGGGGCGAAAAAGAAGCATAAACAAACTAGCATATGTAATCAGATGAATATATAAAATAACGCGATCATCAACATTAAACAACATACAAATCAAAACGAATCGGTTACCTAACGTAACCTCAGTTCTCTCTAGATGAGGGAACGAGTATTGCGTAAGTTAGCTTACGCTATGGGAAAGATTAATCTTTTCTGAGAAGTTGAAGCCAAAAGATTATCCTTAAATATTGTATCCATTGTCAAACAGTTCATCTGCAGCAGACCATGAGCAGGCTAGCTAGCAGCTCATTGGTTCACTCAGGGAGAACTGCTACAGCCTATGAGGGAACTCGTTGCTGACACGCTCTCATTGCGTCAAAGCCTGCCAAAAAGGCATGGCCCGAGTCTATAAATACGCGAGTTTCCCGCTGTTTTCCGGTTTTCATTGAATGAAGCTAGAACACTAGTAGCGCAAGCACGGCCGGGAACACAATACTCGTTCCCTCATCTAGAGAGAACCGAGGTTACGTTAGGTAACCGATTCGTTCTCTTACGAGAGGTTCTCTCGTATTGCGTAAGCTAGCTTACACTACGGGAACGCATGGTCAACGCCGTGCGCGCTAAGCATCCACAATGAGTCCCGGGGGAGGGATCCCGGGGGACTGTTATAAGTGGGAATTAAAGTCCCTGCAAAGGCAATTCTACAAAAAAATTCTAAACACATTATAAATGTTACATATGTATTGCTAAAACATATTACAAAGACTGTGAACTGTGAAGTACTGAAATGTGGAGTTAGACCGTTAAACAGTTTTTCACCATTGCAATTTTACGGATTGTTTGGGCGGGGCTAAAACAGGGCTCGATGATGCACTGGAGCCCATGAGCTCCTGGAGACACCCCTATTTGATGTCGCACAGAGTCTGATCTCTCCCCTAACACACAATAACACTCCCTGAGCAGCACATTCGCATTCACCGCTCAATCGCGAGTGACTGTCAGTACTATTAGTTACTTCAGCTGAGCCTACAGTTTGCTACCTAGCTATGCCTTCAACACGGACATAAATAGGCTACCTGGATGCGATCACGTACAAAACAGATCGGTATCTTCATTTAAATTCCCTAAAAATGATCACATCAAGAAGAGGTTTTTAGAGAGCCAACCTTGAAGAGCTGAGGATCACCGCCAACACCCGCCTCTGTAGTGATCATTTTACACTGGATAGTTTTATAAACTTTCCTCAGAGACAAATGGGATTCACTGATAATCCACTGTTACTGGTGAACGGGACCGAAACGACTATCTCCCGCCTCAGTGTTCATCCTCCCGTCGCGAAAGCAGTTTCACCTAAATCACCGTCGACAGCTTTCCCGCTAGTAGGCGTGGTTTCAGCACAGCCAGCGAACACGCCCCCAGCGTTTGAGAACAGAGATAACTGCTAATTTTTTAAAGATTTTGATAGCTTATTTTATGTACTTGCCAGCTTTTTTATCATTCAAATTTGGCTGGGTGGCTAATAACACATTTTTCTGTGGTGTGACAAACTCAGAACACATACTTAATTTTGACTTTACTGGTACTTTATTAATGTACGTGAACATGAAAGGACCAGCAAGCGGGCCGGGATTGTGTAGTACATAATCACGAGGGAAGAACAAGTGGCACGCCGGTTTTATAAGTGTTACTCCCAATAGTGCAGCTCAAAACAGAAGAGCTGAAGCATACTAGACTGCTAGTAGTTTAGCCTGCAGGGCGGGTACTTCCAGATTGTAAAATCTGACAAAGGTGGAAGGGGAAGCCCATCCCGCTGCCACGCATATGTCTTGAATGGAAATGCCGCTGGACCATGCCCACGATGAGGCCATGCCTCTAGTGGAATGAGCCCTGATGCCCAGAGGGCATGGCAGGTTTTTAGATGCATAAACAGAACCAATAGCGTCCACTATCCATCTGGATAGTGTCTGTTTCGAGGCGGCCAGACCATTAGTACGCCCACCGAACGAAATGAAAAGCTGTACAGAGCGTCTGAACGCGGCAGCGTGTGTAGTGTACAATCTCAGAGCCCGAACGGGACAAAGGAGATTGGCGTCACATTCACTATCGGATGCGGGCAGAGCCGATAGGGAAATAACCTGAGCCCTGAACAGGGTACCAATCGCTTTGGCGACATAGCCATGTCTAGGTTTGAGTCATTGGGTCCAAATTCGAGACACGCTGCGCTAGAAGAGAGCACGTGAAGGTCTCCCACGCGTTTAACTGATGACAGGGCAATCAGAAAAACGGTTTTTAGCGAGAGGTATTTTAGGTCCACAGACTCTAATGGTTCGAACGGGGGGGCTTTCATAGCTTCGAGAACTATAGAAAGATCCCAAATGGGAACTGAAGGGGGGCGCGGGGGTTCGTCCTTCTAGCTCCCCTGAGGAAGTGGATGACTAGCTCGTCTTTTCCTTAAGACAGAGCGCGTCGGGGTTCAGCGAACGCCGCGACAGCTGCCACGCAAACCTTGAGAGTGGATGGGGACCTGCCCTTGTCCAGCATCTCCTGAAGGAAGACGAGCAAAGACGACACCTCGCACCGCAGTGGGTCTAGGTTTTTGTCGGTGCACCATTTTGAGAACACAGACCATTTTGACGCATAGAGCTTCCAGTAGAAGCCGCTCTGGCGTTCATGATCGTGTTTAACACTCCCTCTGGCAAAGCAACGGATAGTCGTTGATCACCAAAGCATGAAGCACCCAGCGCTGAGGATGGGAATGCCAAATCACACTGCAAGCTTGAGAGAGGAGATCTGCTCTGACTGGAATGGGCCACAGGGCTGTCTGCGACAGCTGAGCGAGCTCCGGGAACCAAGTCTGACTCTCCCAACGCGGGGCTATGAGGAGCACCGAGTGGCGTGTTTCCCTGATCCTCTGTAAAACCTGTGGCAACAGTGAGACCGGAGGGAATGCATAAAGCGGGCGGCTGGGCCACTCCTGGGCTAGCGCGTCCTCGCTCTTTGAGAGAAATATTGGGCAGTGAGCGTTCTCCTCTGACGCGAAGAGATCCACCTCTGCTCTGCCGAATATTCGCCACAGTTTCTGGACTGTTTGAACGTGCATTCTCCCGGAAGGATGGGGTTCCTGGACAGTCTGTCTGGTCCGTCGTTCAGATGGCCCGGCACATGCGTCGCTCTTAGCGTGAGCAGGTGGCTCTGGGACCAAACTAAAATGCGTTTCGTCAGCAGGAAGAGCTTCCTGGATCTGACACCGCCCTGACGGTTGAGAACTGTTTTACAGCCGTATTGTCCGAGCGGATCAATACGTGGTGACCCCGAATGCGCGGGAGGAAAAACGTGAGCGCTTTCTCGACCGCGATCATCTCCAGACAGTTTATGTGTCGGGAGCTCTCTTGAACTGACCAGTGGCCAAAGGCCGATGAGCCCTCGCAGACCGCGCCCCAACCTGAGTTGGATGTGTCTGTCGAAATGACTTTTCGGCGAGAGACGGTCCCCATGGTAACGCCCCGTTGAAACCATTCTGCCACTGTCCATGGCTGCAGAGCCGAGATACAGGTCTGTGTAACTTTGATCAGCTGGCGGCCCGTGGTCCACGCACGGTGAGACACACAGCTCTTCAACCAAAGCTGAAGGGGGCGCATGCGCAGGAGACCCAGCTGAAGCACTGCGGAGGCTGAGGCCATGTAACCCAGCGCCTTCTGAAAAGTTTTCAGAGGCGTGAGGGTGTTCATCTGAAAGGATGCGGCAAGATGCTGAACACGGCGTGCGCGCTGTGTAGATAAGCGAGCCGTCATAGCCACTGAGTCTAGATCTATTCCCAGGAAGGAAATTGTCTGACTGGACTGAAGTGAGCTCTTTGTCCAGTTGACAGAGAGGTCCAATGTGTTCAGATGGTCGAGCAGAACTGTACGATGAGACAGTAACTCCATCTGTGATTGTGCCAAAATCAGCCAGTCGTCCAAATAGTTCAAAATTCGCAGCCCCTGACTCCGCAGGGGGGCGAGCACCATATCCATGCACTTCATGAACGTACAGGGTGTTAGGGATAGGCCGAACGGGAGGACGGTGTATTGATAAACCTGGCCGTCTAAGACCTTTTCTACATTTCGCCTGTGACGGGGATTTATCTGGATCTAAAAATAGGCATCTTTCAGATCTAGAGAGATGAACCAGTCCCCCTGGCGTACATGCGCGAGGTGTTTCTTAACTGTAAGCATTTTGAACGGTCTCCTCATGAGTTCTTTGTTCAAAAATCTGAGATCTAAGATTGGTCTGAGGCCGCCGTCTTTCTTGGGGACAAAAAAAATAACGGCCGTAAAACCCAGACTGGACAGCGGCGACGGAACTGTAACAGATAGCCGTATTTTATTGTGCTTAGCACCCATGGGGAGATTCCCGGAATAGCACTCCGTCACTCCCCCTTTATGCCTCTGCTCCTTCGTGAGAGATGCGAGACCGGTGTGCTTCGCAGGTGCTGCTCATTAGCAATCGCAACACCGGCCTCGTGACTTTCTGTCACGTCCCTCGGCCGTCCTGCTCACCACATACCCCCATCACCCCTCACAGGGGGGTACACCCGAACTGTGCCCATAACCAGGATTATAGCTTGTCAAGTGTTGAAAATTGTATATAGTGTTTGAACAAACGTGTCGGAAAAAGTGCACTTTCCACACGGTCCCTTACTCGCGTCTCCGTCAAGAGCAAGCTCTCCCGGTGAAACTCACATTGCGGAGGCTTTTGAGGGGCAGTGCCTATTATATAGAGCGAAGTCATATTTGGCTAAGTTGTTTAGGAGGTAATTTCCATTTTCCAGTGAATGTTTGGTGAATATCAAAAACAAAACTAACTTTTCCCTGTTTAGAAGCTGCGCGGAGTGTACACAACACACACAACATAATATAACTATATTGTGCGTGCTACAGAAAACATAACAGCAAACATTATTAATAATACTTACAGATTGTGATTCGGAGGAGGACGAACCTGATCCATATACACTGGATACTGAGCCCTCCTTCAGTAACAACCGGCTTGCGAATGATTCGTCATTAAAATGATGAGAACACAGGGTTCAGGCTATACTGTTGTAGTATCATTGCAAATATAAACTCTGACCACTGATTCTTCACATGCTCGTCCCTGGACAATGGAAACAAGTGGCTGAACTGTCTTTGCAATGTAGAACACAGCGTCTTCTCGACATGATGCAATTCAGCTGAAGTATTTGAATGTGTTCTAGACGTCACTTTAAGTCTGCGCACGCAGTTGTTGGGAGCGGCCAATGACCTCTCTACATCACGATGTAACAGCTAATGACTCGTTTCAAAAACAATTCATTTCATAGACTCAGAGTCGACTCTCACTTTTGAAAGACAATAACTTTATATACGGTGCACTTTCAGATATAAATCTTTCCAGGATGTTTTCATTCCCTTAGAGCTATATTAAACACTACATGAACAGTCATTTTCAAAAATCCATGATAGGTGCTCTTTAATATGTCGGCGTTATTGCAGGCGTTCATGTAATGACAGGCTCATTGCTGCAATATAGACATTTTCGGCCTCTCGATCGAGGAAAGAAAAAACATTAGAGAGATGGGTGCAAACCGGCCTCGGCGGGCTAAAAACACACTCGTTTCTCATGTCGCCGCTGACGCATGTGCGCGGGGGAGCACGGCTGCTTTCTGTAACGTAAGAAAGCTGTCTGCAAGCTCAGAGCTGCATAAAATTATCTGCAAGAGCCTGAATCGAACACTGGTCTCTGGCGCGAAAAGCTTTGTGTTTTACCACTGAGCCACAGCAGTAAAGACACAAGCTGAATAGCACGAGCAGATAAGAGGGCGAACAGGTGGTGAACAGGTCCAGCGTCGGTGGAACTAACACACCATAAACCCATTTTTGGTGAAGCTATGCACGGGGGACAGGCTGGCTCTCTTGTAAAGTAAAGAAAGCTAGCCGCTGTCGGCACAGCTGTAAGCGGCTTGTCCCTCATACAGCGTGGGACTCCGGCGCTGAGAGGGGCGCGGCATGAGCCGCAGGTGTGCGAGGCATCTTTAAAAAGACGCTCGCTGCTCTTTTGTTAAGTTACACCATCAAAATACAAATGTAAGGATACGTCGCCGGATGGCGTTAGCTCACAGGATGGCTGAAGGTGGCGAAGACGGCCGGCTTCCTCAGACTCTGTCCACGCTTGCTAAGAGATGCCTTCTCGATGGCGACGCGGCTTCCTCTCGGAGATCAGCAGGTGCGTATAGCCTTGCTGAATTGATGAAAATCGGAAAACAGCGAGAAACTCGCCTATTTATAGACTCGGGCCACGTTTTTGCAGGCTTTGACGCAATGAGAGCATGTCAGCTTCTCATTGGCCGTGAGTTCAACCGGGTTCCCTCATAGGCTGTAGCAGTTCTCCCTGAGCGAACCAATGAGCTGCTAGCTAGCCCGCTCATGGTCTGCTGCAGATGAACTGCGTTGACAATGGATACAAAATTAAAGGATTATTTTTTGGCTTCAACCTCTCATAAAAGATTAATCTTTCCCGTAGCGTAAGCTAGCTAACCTCTCGTAAGAGAACTGCCTAACAAAATCGAGGATAAAGTATCAACTCAGGATGAGCTATAGGACCGTGAAGATTTTGGGTTGTTGGACTCCATCTACTTTTTGACCATTGTTCTGAATCCTATCCAGACATAGTCTTTGACAAAAAGAGACTTTCTTAGCTATTTGTTCAAAAAGTTTTTTTTTTTTTTTTTTTATGAATCTTTTCTTATGAAACTTTCAACCCACATTCAGTTGTTGATAAAAACACTATTTTTTTTATTTTTTTTTATTTTTTAAAGCAGAGGTCCGTTCTTTTTGTATGTATTGCGTTTTCAGATATTCCTGCAACAAAATATTTGGGGGGACATAAAAATGACAATGTCAACTTTTTAAAAAGAAAAATGCTGTCGGGGGATTAACATATTAACTTAAAATATCAATTAACTTTTATGTTTAATGTAGTAACAGAATAATTTTTGATCATATATATTTCATCTTTATGTAAATGGCAGTTATTTTGCACATGAAGAAATAAACAAATCTGTACATTTATATATATTTAATATTCCCCACAAAATATGCAGTTCAATTAATCGGCTGTGTTTACTGTATATATATATATATATATATATATATATAGTGAACATATTAAACACTGCCGGTGTTCCAGTGCTATAAAGGCCTCTTTGATATTGATTTGTGTCCTGCAGTCAGGGGCCATCATGACGGTTCTGGCAGCAGTCTGCACCAAGACTCCTGAAGCTAAGCTGGGCATCCTCTTGCTTCCTATGGTCAGCTTCACTGCAGGAAATGTAAGTGGGTCTGCAAAATAATTCAGGTTTATCCTATTCCTTCGTATTTGCGGAGTGAGATGTCAATAATGTTGTTTCATATGTTCTAGGCTTTGAAAGCTCTTGTTGCTTTGGATACAGCTGGTCTCCTCCTGGGCTGGAGGTTTTTTGATCATGCAGCCCATCTTGGTGGAGCTCTGTTTGGAGTGTGAGTGCTTCACTGTTCTCCACACAACTGATAACAGTGGGGGTGTAAAGAATAGGTATCTACCCATTTTAGGGGTCACTGGTGTATGTTTGTAGTGTCATTTACAACAGCTTAGAGCACAGCTCAACCAATCATAATCAAGGACCAGAACTATCCTTTTTGTCACTCGTAGTCCATGGGCCCTAGCGCATCCACGTTTGCTAGTTTAAGTAAGTTCACAAAAGAGTAGTTTTTTGCTGATAATTTACTCACCCCCATGTCATCCAAGATGTCCATGTCTTTCTTTCTTCAGTCGAAAAGAAATTAAGGTTTTTGATGGAAACATTCCAGGATTTTCTCCATATAATGGACTTCATTGGGAACCAAACGGTTCAAGGTCCAAATGAGAGTTTCATTGCAGCTGCAAAGGGCTTTAAACGACACCAGACGATGAATAAAGGTCTTATCTATTATCTAGATTTATTCATTTTGATGAACGAGTTTGAACAGGAGAGTCACGAACGCTCATCACAGAACAGAGCAAAGCGAGCATTTGTGCTTATAAAACTTATACTTTTTTTTATTTTTGAAATGACTGATCGTTTCGCTAGACAAGCGAAATCTAGGGGGTGAAGTCCATTATATGGTGAAAAATCCTGGAATGTTTTCATCAAAAACCTTAATTTCTTTTCAACTGAAGAAAGAAAGATGTGGACATCTTGGATGACATGGGGGTGAGTAAATTATCATCAAAAGTTTTTTTTTTTTTTTAAAGTGAACTACTCCTTTAATGAGTAGTGGGTGTTTTTTTGCAATTTGCAACCAGAAAGACTGAACGCTTCTCCAAAGAGGAAATCGAATCTGCTAGTACTCAAGGTTAAAGCGTGCCAGCAGACCATATACGGGAAAGCTGTGTTGAACCATATCTTTATGTACACTATGATAATCTTTTACAATGTAATCCTTTTATTTTTTATATTTGGCATGTTTGTGTGCTTGCTGCTGCATGCAATATTGGGCATGTTTGTGTGCCCTGTGTGTGTAAGTGTACACGTGTTGTGGACCCGCCTATAGGCTTATTTAAATTTACTTTAGACCATGTTTTTGTTGGTCAATGACACAGTCTATTTCAGTTGCCTCAAAGTACCAATGAGCCAACAATGTTCCTGAACACATCTCATTTTCAGACCAGCCGCCCATGGGCGCACAAATACTGTAGGTGCAAATGCATTTGCTATTTAAACAACCAAGTCATGCGTCAGGCTGAAACTAGCAAAAAAAAAACGCTTGCGTCGTGTCTACCGCTGATTTGCGTCTTGTGAATGAAAGTGCCCCATGTGTGTCAGTTTTGAGGTCATCTACTGTATATGTTAGAGCTGTGGTTTGCAACCCACGGCTCAGCTCATTTTAAAAGACCAAAAATATTGAAGACCCATGTTTCTTCACAAATATTTTTATTAAATCAAATGTTCTGTGGACTAAAAAAAGGAGAAGCATATAAGAGAGTTTTAATATAAGAGAAATGGTTGAACTCATCTAGTGATTTATCATGAGGGATTTAAGCATTTGGACATTTGGTTATGTTCTCTCTCACCTTTTACCTTTAATTTCATTTTCTTCCAGGTGGTACATTGCATATGGTAATGAAATGATCTGGAGGAACCGCGAGCCACTGGTGAGATTATGGCATGAACTAAGGAACAAGCCCAACGGCAGACCCCGACCAGGAGGTGGTGGTCAAGTTTAGGATTATTCAGCTGCCTCAAGATCACTGGACCCTCTCATTTCAGAAACAGAACTTTCCTTCAGAATACTGACTGACTAACGTAAATTCGAAGAAGTAGTGCAGATGCTCAGTACACGTCTCCTTCTTTTCTCAAGCCTGTTGTCCTATCATTAAAGGAAAAAAGGGTTGTAAGAAGAAGCCTATAAAAAGAATCCCCATGACATTTCGCAGCAGCGCTATTGTCTGAGGACAAAGGCATCGATCTCTACGTGGAGCTCAGTATGTTTGTGTATAGTGAGGTCTGAGACCATATAGAAAATCTGGGATTCGGAATTTAATGTAAAACCTGGAAATAAGCAAAGTTGTATGTTTTTATGGAAATATCGAATGCAATTCACTGCTGCACTATTGCTTGGTCATTAATCCAATTCTCTGACATCAGCATGTTAACTAGTCTGTATGAGAGATCAGATTATCTGGGAATTAATATTCCAAAAGAGCATCTGACTTCAAAGGAAGCGCCTCTTGGAACATTCTCAAATCTCAAGTCTAAGGTGAAATACAGGCCAAAGGCATCTATGTCCAATAGAACATGACTGTGTTATGTTTTTACAAAGGGTTTTAAAATATGAATCTATTTATTAGATAAAGTTATTGGTGGACTTTCATGAAAAGCTTTCTACTCACCTCAGGAGAGAATACTGTCAAAATATTAAGAGACAATAAATGTATTCAAAGTTTGCATGATCTCTTTATTAATGCTGACTGCAGATTTCTGTGGACATTTATCTCCTCTAAAATTGCCTTAAGATAGCTGTTTACTGACAAATTTTCATGATTTCTTTTCTTGTAAAAAGTGAAATTACTTATAATACCGTATAAAATTTTTTTATATTTTGTAAACATAACATACCAATACTGAGATACTACACTTAAACGTATACTTAAAAACGTACACAAAGCACATGAAAACAGGAAGTTAGACAGAACAATACCATAGAATCTTGGAGACAGAGAGAAAAACTTATGTTACTATAATTCTCATAATTCTGATTCACCAGATGTTTATTGTGTGTAAATGGCAGATCAGGTCATGCAGTTGTTCATGTATGATCAAAAAAAATCATTAACACATTACAAAACATAAAAACGGTTTAAGGTTTTAAAATGTTTTATTAACAAAGTTCGGGAGAAGCACGTACACGGTTGGAGAGCACTCAGCAATCATGATTAAAACGTGTATATAGACTCAGCAGGCTCTCCTCATTTCTCCACTCTTCTAGTCCTAAACCACTTTACATATAGGGGGAGTACTCTGGGTTCGGGCCGAATTACGAGATCGGAGCCCTCCCCCCGGACAGCACGGCAAATACGCATTATACTTTATTCCCTTTAATTGTATGTAAGTGTGAACTCGTGAAAGAGTTCCACACTGTTACCTCGCTGTGCATACAGCATGAAATCAAAAACTTTCATTTGTCCCATTTTCCAACAAGAGGCGATCTGAATCATTTCAATGCCCAGCCCAAAACATCTCACTTGTCATTTCTTCTTTCTTCATTAAGAAGGTTGACCTGTTAGTAACTGCAGTCCAACTGCACATGACATCAGTGCTTCAGGCACTTTTCAGTAATTCAGTCAGAAGTTTCAACTCATGTCCTGTGAAGAGGCGGCCTTCGCAAGTCTGAGGCTCTTTTTCAAGTGGAAGAGGAGACCCTTCTGTTCAGAGGCCCGTTTTAAGTGAAAAAGGTGAAACATAGCAAAGGCCGCTACTGGTTCTGTGCTCAACCTCGCTCAAACTGCTCCCTCCACCTGCACTCTTGGCACCAGGAGATTTGTGGGCTCCAGTGAAACATCCGTACAAAGGATGGGTGTGCTGGTGGGCCAGTCATCAAGCTGGAGGAAACAAAAACAAGTGGTCATTCTTTCTTATACCCGTTTTAAGTGAAAATTCTTGTAAGTCATCACTTCTAAAAGTAGTGGTTGGTGTGTTTTCTTTGTTCTATTTGAACTGAGTCAGATATAGACTACTTCAACTGTGCTCTGTAAAAGAAAACAAAGTGGTTTCTATAGGAAATAAAGATGATCTCATTCAGATGTCTGGGCAGCATTGTTGGGTAGTTAACAAATAATAGAATTACAGTCATTTAAAGAGCACCTATCATGGATTTTTGATAATGACTGTTCATATGATGTGGAATACAGCTATAAGGGAATGAAAACATCCTGCAAAGATTTATATCTTAAAGTGCACCGTATATAAAGTTATTGTCTTTCAAAAGTGAGAGTCGACTCTGAGTCTATGAAATGAATTGTTTTTGAAACGAGTCATTAGCTGTTTCGTCGTGACGTAGATACAAAACATTAGCTCATTGGCCGCTCCCAACAACTGCGCACGCAGACGGGAGTGTAAACTTGAAGTCTAGTCTAGATAGAACACATTCAAAAACTTCAGCTGAATAGCATCATGTCGAGAAGACACTGTGTTCTACATTGCAAAGACAGTTCAGCCACTTGTTTTCATTGTCCAGGGACGAGCATGTGAACAATCAGTGGTTAGAGTTCATATTTGCAACGATACCACAACACTATAGTCCGAACCTTGTGTTCTCATCATTTTAATGACGAATCATTCAAAAACATAAATGAATTCAAATGTGGATACGTAAGCCGGTTGTTCCCGAAGGAGGGCTCAGTATCCAGTGTATATGGATCAGGTTTGTCCTCTGACGAATCACAATCTGTAAGTATTATTAATAATATTTGCTGTTATGTTTTCTGTAGCATGCACAATATAGTTTTATTGTGTTGTGTGTGTTGTGTAACTCCGCGCAGCTTCTAAGCGGGGTAAAGTTAGTTTTGTTTTTGATATTCACCAGACATTCACTGAAAAATGGCAATTACCTCCTAAACGCCAAATATGACTTCGCTCTATATAATAGGCACTGCCCCTCAAAAGCCGCCGCAATGTGAGTTTCGCTGGGAAAGCTCGCTCTTGACGGAGACGTGAGTAAGGGACAGTGTGGAAAGTGCACTTTTTCTGACACGTTTGTTCAAACACTATATACAATTTTCAACACTTGACAAGCTATAATCCTGGTTATGGGTGTTCCATTTAGAGATGTTCCATTTCCACAACTGACTGGGTCATTTGACCAATCGCCGCAGATTCGCGTCACTCAAATGAGGTGTTTGGGAAAATGAATCGTCGAATCAAAATTGGGAGTCGTTGAGCAAATCGGGTAAAAATAAATGCATATTATAAGACAAATAAAGTGTTTTTTATCCTTGCATGCACGTTAAACTGTTTTTGGGAACTCCCAAAACAAAAATAGGAACATTTCAAATGCTATGATAGGGGCTCTTTAAATAGTTTCCCCCTAAACAAAATAGGGGTTACTCTAACTAAATTACTTTTTTTAGAGAAACTTACCCAGCACTGCTGGACAGCAACTGATCATGAGATTAAACATACACTCACCAGTACACTGGGAATGGGCTCCCTGTGGCAAATCTCTTTGATTTGTGGACCAAAATGTGTTGCCGACCATCCCAGAATAAAGGCCATGGCGACTGCAACGACCACAGCGACGCTTACTATCGACGGCTTCACAAAGTCAGATGTCAGCTCTAGAAAGGAAATCACGGGTCAATTTGAACAAGCATAGTACATTTACTATCTTGTCAATTATCTTCATAGTTTCTTCCAAATGCATTATTCTGTAGACATGTAATTACATACATCTATCTACCATTTCCTTGATCACTGATCACTCACCAGGAATGGTGACGCACTGCGCGTCAATGCTGCAGATCTTGTTAATGGCTTCCACCACTGCTTCTGCCCTGAAGCACATCTTCTCTCGCCCTCGAAGCGCGGCAATGGAAACATGATAGGGATGTGCTCTGATCGCATAGTTTAAGGTCTGCAATGACATCCATCAAGGTCACAATAGACCTGAGTCAGGACAGACGGCTTAGATTTGATTTAGCCTACTTTATACTTACTTTCATTTTATTTTTCACAAATGAAGACAAGAGTGTTAGATGTACAGTCTGTTCAGTAGGTTGTACTTTTCATAGGCCATATTTTACAGCTTTTTTTTTTTTTTGACCACTGGAAAGATGTATCATTGCTGGCACCACATGTTATGCTTAAGCAATATCACAGTCATGCTGTTGTTATGAATATTAGCATGGAAAATTACACTGTGTTAAAATTTAAGCTGATAGCATTGCAGCCAAAAGTGAATAATTAAGTAACCTACACTTAAGACACAATATTACCATAGTTTTTTTTTTTTTTTTGTCTATTTTTGCTCATTTTTGCTTTTCCAAATCATCCATTAGCAAAGCCAGACATCAAGTGTAAACAGAGAGCTAATAACAAATATCACGTTACATGTAGTGGAAACAGAATAAAAGTATGAAAATATTCTCACGTTCTGTTCGTCCCCCTCCTTCCAGACTCTAAGGTTGACGGTCATATCAGAAAGTGTTGTACTGAAGCCCACCTGGATGGGATCCCGCTCCACGTTCACGGTCATTTTCGGAGCCAGCAACACTGCTATAAAAGACCACAAATGGGCATGTGACCCCATTGATCCATTTCAGACAATTTTGTTTCTGTAAAAATAACTTTATAGGCAATAATGCTCAACTGTCTCTCCTGTTGAAAGTCGCTGGTAGTTGTGTCCATGACTTTTGTCCATCGCAGTTTGTGTTTATGCGGATGCTGTAGTCAGAGTTGGAGGCCAGGTCATGTGTGAGATCACATCTGTGTTCACTGATCTCTTGGCAGTCATATGCATTCATCCATGTTCCATTAAGTTTGTAGAACTCATACTCCCTACATTGAGAATCAGAGATGAGTAATATTAATGATACAATGTACACTACTTCTATTCTTCTAACCTACAGGGAATTCATTGAATTTTGAAAGATATTATGACCAGTGTTGTACAAGTTACTTTCAAACTGTAATACATTAGGTATTACTTGTTACTGTTATTTAAAAGTAATTCATTACCTTACAATATTACTGTCTCAGAATTGTAATGCGTTACATTACTCATGTATTACTTTTGAGTTACTTTCACCAAAATAACTAAGTAGAACTTAACTTTGGGGCTGTAACGATATGCAATATGAAATCGCGATTCGCCACATCCACGAACCTACAGAATCGCGACACACCTCTTCCAACTCCAGCGTTATTCTCCTTACCGTCCATATCCAATGCTGCCTTATCTTTAAATTAGGCTATTAGTATTATTTGAAGTTAACATTATAAAATACGTAGACCTACACCACAAAACTAGTTGAGGATAAATTATTTAAAATTGGGGAAGTCCAGCATCATGGACATGACATTTGCAGTCAAAACTTGAAATAAAAAGTCTCAGAAAATACATGTATTGAAACGTATATAGGCTACTTCCTTAAAGGACTCCAGACATTAGACAAAAATCAGTCTATGTTTTATTTTTAATATTAGGGAAAAGACACACATTCATGCGTGACAAAAAATAGGAGGCAAAATATATTTTTTGTAATTCTGTTAATTACACTGCGCAAATCGGATGAGGAAGGGTTGGCTCTGCAGTCTCCATAGAACTTAAAAATTCATTGTATTTTAGTTTTCATGTTCGCATTTATGAGGAAAAAACAATGTTACAGACGCGACCGCTCTGAACTGGCACTAAAGAGACTGCTTTAAAAACTTTCACATAGTCTGTTGCC